AAACATACTACTTTAGAAAGGCCGAATTAAATGTTGGTAATTTAGATATCGACTTCATTATTAAAATTCATATTAATTGAAAAGATGATTTAATTTATATTTGTTAAAAGGGATACAATCACTTAGATAAAAGGGAACTTAAAGAAACCGAACTTCGTAAAGGTGCCAACTCGATTGGCCAAAATGGCGGATCAAAAGGAAAAAGGAAGAGAGAGTGAGGGGAAAAATTAAAAAGGAAGACAAGGTGATTTGGCTGAACTAAAACTGGTTTAGTACTTGGTCAAAGTTGTTATTACAAGAGAGAGAGAAAGAGAGAGAGAGAGTGAATTGTATCACTAATAATCACCGATTCCTACGAATCAAAGCAGAACTTATTTCTTTAATTTCAACACTTATAAACGATATTATTTATTATTTGATTAATTCACTAGGACAAGATTTAATTATTTTTATTAACAACGTACATGTATTATTAACGAATCACCAATGGATTAACTCAAACTGAAAAGAAGCGAGCACCTTAAAGGTGCCAACTCTTCTACTTAAAATGGCGGAGAGGAAAAGGAAAATAAGAGAGAGAGAGAGAGAGAGAGAGAGAGATTAAAGAGATCTAAAATTAATACACAAAAAGCTGGTTCACAAAGGCGCAATTCCTAATTTTGATTGTTAATCCTTGAGATTAACGATCAGCGATTAATATTATTAGTAGCAAATTTTGTACGGGCTACTTAAACTTTTACTTCAGAAAAGATAATTGATTCAAAAGTGGGGATTAGATTGTGAGTAGATGGGTAAGACTTTCTGATCATCGTCATCCCCGATTGAGGTAATAAGGAAGCTAATGAAGTCTATAATCTATTATAATATGAATGGGATGAGTTTGTTGATTTGTCACATAAGAACTGAACTGGTCATCGCTAAAATCTGATTCATTGTCAATAAGTTTTTCTTGAGGAGAGAGAGAGAGAGGAAAAGTTTCACAAAACTTTGGATTAATGGGGACTATTAGTAGACAATCAGAAAAGTAGATTGTAATTGCAAAAAAAATCAGATAAATGAACATGAACTTAGACTGCAAGTTTCAAAGGCTTTGAAATTTATCTCTCCCTGAAGAGTTTACAAAAAAATATCTGAAACTTTCCATTGTTGAAGAAAAGAAATTTTCTCTTCCTGTTCAATGTCTCATTAACGTTTGATTTTACAGTCAATTGTTAACCTACGATCCAAACCACACTCAGATAAACATTACGATATTGAGCAAGATTAACTTTCTCACCCAATATTTTATTGATCAATACTTGATTTCTGCTCAATTTAAGATCAATACATTGAATGTAACAAAATTTTCCAATTTAAAGAAAAAAAAAGTTCGTAACCATTAGAGAATTTTGATTTATAGCCTAAGTGATTAGTATTTAAATTGATTTGTAATCCTAACTAGACAGCTAATTGATTCATAATCTAATAATTTAACAGGAAATTTTCATCGCCTCTAATGGAATGTAAAAGTTTGTATAATGTTTTTAATATCATGAAAACTTGATTAGTTTCAAGTCTGTTTAAACTTTCAATAAAGATAATTAATAAACCTAATTGAATTAATTATCAATTTTCAGGCTATTACGAAGTTATTCATTTAATGATAATCACAATGATGATGAGATTGAACTTTTAAATCTTGTAAACATCAAATTGGATAACATTATGATGAAGGGAAAAAAAATCAGTCTCAATAAAAAAGAGTTCTAGTTGGAACTATTAATTGGATTTCCAAGGATTTATTTAAATGGTTCTGATTGAGATAAATATTTGAAAGAAGGTAATTTCAAATTCTATATATACATTTACATGTATGAACCAGTACCTGGAATTATATGAACTCAATTGAACGAAACAACCTGAAGCCAACAAGTATTTCCATTAATTGGAACAAAAAATTTTCATTGAAAATAAAAGGAAAAAAAAAACTTCATGAATAAAACGGTGAATCAATTATGTTGATTATTAATCGATATTATAACTTGAATTTGGAGGAGAAATCATCACAATTAGGATCTAATTATGTCAATATCATCAATAGTCAGCATCATTGCATTTGTCCTATGAGAGTTGGCCCATTATTATTATGATGACCATCGTCCATTGTATAATAATGTCCAACTCTATCAACATAAGGAGTAGCCTGTTTATCCTTTTTTTCAATGACATTTTTTTCCCAATCATCTTCATCTCGTTTCTCCGACTTGGAATAAGTATTTTTTTCTAGATGGAAAGGAGAATATTTTTTTCTCTCTACTTGTATGTTCATCAGTTTGCACTTCTCAATCTACATCCTCATCATCATCATCATTTTCTTTATATTTTTGCCCTCTCTTCTTCTTCTTGATATCACCAACATTTGATGCTCTCATGAGAAAACACTAAGCCCAATTATAGATCATCAATTTTATGAAATCTCTTATCATCAACTATGTTGTTCAATTCATGTGAAATGAAATAACTTTCATGATGATCATGGGATCAGGGCTTTTGAAATAAGGAGTAAGAAATGAAACTGACCAATGAATAGAAAAAGGTTAAGGTGAAATGTTCTTGAGGGAGTAATCTTACAGTACCTGGAACATGAATGCGATGAAAGAAAAAGTATTTCTTGTTATGATACAAAAGAAAAGCTGATGATATCAGATAGAAACATGAAAATTCATGATTAACCCAAAAGTTACATTTACTAGGCATACTGCAGCAACAGTAACGTCTGAGCGCGTATATGATGGGAAGAAAGCAAGAAAAAGACTGAAGAGAATGAAGAAGGACTGAAAAGAGGACTGGAGAAGAGATGAAGAAGAGAATGAAAGAAGAGACTGAAAGAAAGGGACTGGAGAAAGAGAATGAAAGAGACTGAAAGAAAGAGACTGAGAGAAAGAGACTGAAGAAGGACTGAGGAGGGACTGAAGAGGACTGAGAGAGGACTGGAGGACTGAGGAGGAAGAGAGAAGAGAGGATGAAGAGGACTGAAGAGGACTGGGAGAGATGAAGAGGACTGAGAGGAGGACTGGGAGAGGACTGGGAGAGATGAAGAGGACTGAGAGAGGACTGAGAGAGAGGATGAGAGGATGAAGAGGACTGGAGGACAGGAGAGAGGAGATGAGAGGACTGAAGAGGACTGAGAGAAAGGACTGAGAAGAGAGATGAAGAAGGACTGAGAGAGGATGAAGAGGACTGAAGAAGGACTGAGAGAAGAGACTGGAAGAGACTGAGAGAAAGGACTGGAGAAGAGACTGAAGAAGGACTGAGGAGAAGAGACTGAGGAGAAGGAATGAAAGAGACTGAGAAAGGACTGAGAGAAGAGAATGAAAGAAGGACTGAGAGAAAGGACTGAGAGAAAGGACTGAGAGAAGAGAATGAAAGGACTGAAGAAGAGACTGAGAGAGGACTGGAAGAGGAATGAAAGAAGGACTGAAGAGACTGAGGAAGAGAATGAAAGAGGACTGAGAGGACTGAAGAAGAGACTGAAGAGAGGACTGAGGAGAGGACTGAGAGAGAGAGATGAAGAGGACTGAAGAGGACTGAGGAAGAGGAAGGAGAGGACTGAAGAGGACTGGAGGAGGATGAAGAAGGACTGAAGAAGAGACTGGAGAGGGAAGAAGAGGACTGAAGAGGACTGAGAGAGGACTGGAAGAGGGACTGAGAGAGGACTGAAGAGGACTGGAAGAGGACTGAGAGAGAGAGGACTGGAGAGAGATGAAAGAAAGAGACTGAAGAGGACTGAGAGAGGATGAAGAAGGGACTGGAGAGGACTGGAAGAGGACTGAGAGAGGACTGGAGAGGACTGAGGAGAGAGATGAAGAGGACTGGAGAAGAGAGACTGAGAGAGAGATGAGAAGAGGACTGAAGAGAGGACTGGAGAGAGATGAGAGAGGACTGAGAGAGGACTGAAGAGAAAGAGACTGAAAGAAAGAGACTGAGAGAAAGAGACTGCGAGAAAAAGACTGAGAGAAAGAGACTGAAAGAAAGAGAATGAAATAAAAAAGAAAGGGAAGAAAGAAAAAAGAAAGAAAAAATTTGTAATTCGCGGTAGCGCGTTACCAAGGTGATAGATGCTTTCGCTATCTAGCGTGAAGAGAAATTACTAATTTTCGGGAGTGGGCCAATCTCTACCAAAAACTATACAGGTGATTAGCACCATGATTTGGCCCAATCCTGAAAATTTGGTGAAAATCGGACTAAAATTACGCTCGCTATCGTTTAAGAAAAAACTGATTTTTGAACGTAAGGTCTTCGCTTCGCTCAGACAATTAAACATGTATGCAATATATGGAAAAGTTTACTTAACTTTTGACTTGAATTCTTAATCAATGAGTCGATGTATTAGAAATATTGAGTGAATTTATCATTGGTAGTTTTAGAATTCAGTAAGTTTCATATCAGTAAGTAAGATACTATTTGTTGATTACGTAAAAATTACAATTTTGCAATTCAAAGTTCTGATTTGATTATCATGATACATATTCTTTTTCAATAATTTCCTTCTTTGATCACTAACAGTTTTTGATATTGATTACATCTCGATTATAGAGGTAATATGAGGTCATCATGATATTGACCATTGGTTTGAGTTAATATTTAATTTACATGTCTCAATAATCCAATTTCTATCGAAAACTTGACCAAATTATAGTGAATCTTATTAGGTTAGTATTTCACCATCATGTCAAGTTCATGGCTATTCTAATATAAAGAAAAGTCTTTCAAGCCTTTTTCTGATACAGAAATTGATGCTGACATTTCATTCATTGTTGATATCTAGTTTCTTATGGTAAATTACTGCCAATTTTTTCATTAAGCACGGATGAACGTTTCCCTTGTCTATTTGTAACGTGAGTTACATTCATAAAATTTTATCCTTCTTGTTTCGCAAAAACTGTTGTTAGACACTAACATAGAGTTTCTCTTACTAAGTTTTCTACCAAATTTTCAACACTCTAATATTAAAAGATGACACATACAACACAATGGAATGAACTTTATTCTTGTGATTATAACAAAAGCTCTTGCTTCAAGGAGAAACTCTTCCTGGTAGAAGAAATGATTTTTTTTTGCAATGAGAGAAAAAATTGTTCAATTTTTGAAAGAAAGTCGGCAAACTTTATATGTCTTTTCTCAATGTGACCCTGGTGATGTTTCATAACCATGATCAGCATCTCAATGAAGAAGCATAGTTAGAATTTCAAATTACGGCTTATAGAAAGCGAAAACTCGATAAAATTTACATCGAAATCAATATTAATCAATATTATTAGCTGTTAGTATTTTACAGATTTTCAGGTTACAATGGAACCAACAATATGAATATTCCGATCGTTGAATTTTATTTTGTCCTTAATTTGCTGATGGCTCCATCTCCTGTTACTCGAGTTCAGCTGATCTAATAGTGAATCATAAATCTGATTGAAATAACAGGATAGAGTGACATCTATTGCTTAACATTCCACTCGGTTCGATTTCAAGATTTTCTTTATTCAATTATTCAATCTATTATGTTGATTGGTTATCTTAACAAAATACGTGGTTAGGTTTCCTTTTCCTTTTACTTTTATTTGTCCACGACATTCAACATCGTAGCCACTTTCCTGAAGGACTCGAGCGGTCTCACCAGTTACCTGTAGACGAGATATCGGTGCAAAGCATTAGAAGATCATTTATTGTTTGAAAATCTTTTAGAAACCTACCTGAATTTTACCAATTACACCACAAGAATCCATTCTAGAAGCAACATTAACTGTATTACCCCAAATATCGTACTGAGGCTTTTGAGCGCCAACAACACCAGCGATAACCGGCCCATGGTTTATTCCAACTCTTAACTTGAATCGTTGAAATGATTCCTTGTTAATCTGTTCTAAAATTGCCATAAGAGTTATCGAAAATTCAACCATTATGGTTACATTGTGAGCTTCGCGATTAGCTGGACCCTTTGAATGCTCTTGTCCAGGTTGAAGACCAGAAGCTGCCATGTATGTTGATCCAATTGTTTTAATCTTCTCGATGCAACTGTATTTAGGTTTCAACAGCATTTTATCAAAATCACAGATTATCTCATTGAGAAGCCTAAGACACTCTAATCCCTGTTTATTTATATCATTTTCATCATAAAACTCCATATAATTAGGAATGGAGGCAAACATAACTGTCACCGAGTCATATTTTTCTGCATAAAGCTCTTTAATTGATGAACCATTGGAAGCTATTGAATAGTTGAGAAAATGATGAGCTACATGAGCCGGAAGTATATTCTCAAGAAGTAATTTGTTAATTCCTCCCATGGTTTCTATCTCCTCTTGTTCAACTTTTAATTTTGCTCTCCAAAGGAAATCACTTCGTGATGTATATTCAACTTGACGATCAAGAACGTCCAAAAGTAAAGATATAACAAAAAGTAGAGCAACAAAATGAACTTCACTTGATAATTTGGCGTCAAGAGTTACACTTTCCGTTTCCGTTAGGACAAGAGAAGTGATGAAACCGGCAAGATAAAGAAGCATAATCAACAGCTTAAGGAGGAAATTAAAATGAATTAAAATAGAAATTGTCAAGAGAGTGAGAAAAGGTGATATTTGATAATAGTGTTTCCTCATAATCTGACATTCTGATAGCGATTCAATATAATCATCAGAATCGATATGAATTGAGGTAATTTCGTTTGATTGATTGGTCCAGGAAGATGATTGTATTGGTGATTGTAGTGGAGAAGATAATGAACCGGAAGATGGACAAGTAAGAAAGGTTACTGAGAGTATATTACAAGTTGCGACAAAAATAATTCCAATCACAGAGAGAGTCACCTTGATACAACGAGGTGAATTAAGGACACCGATAAACGATTCAACGGGAGATGATGAATCTTCAGCTGATGAGGAAGATGCTGATGATGAATGATGAGAAACAGGGGAGGGTTGAATTGAACTGTATTCGCCATGAATGTGTGACCAAACACTGTAAGCAACAATCGTCATTAGTACGGTGCTTGTTGATCCAAGTAATGTAAATGAAATCCAGGTACTAGAAGGAAAAATTGAGACAGAGAGAGAAAAAGAAAATTGTAGAAAAAAAAATTAAATCTGATTGATTGATTCGCGATGAAAGTGGAACTTATCATGACTATTCAATGATATCGATGATCTATGCTTATTCATCATGATAAAAATAATTTTCATGAATGAAAATTACACAAAATTACATCAGAGCTTAATCATAGTTGATGAAAATCTAACAGGGGAAACGGGATTTTATTCATTTTTCATGCTACTCAGAACTTTCAATCTCTTTCCTTTGGATTATTTATCTGATTTTTACCTCATGATAATGGTGATGAAATTCATCATTCTCTATGATATTCTTATCAGATAAAATTATTAAGCTGCTCAGGTGAATGATGTTGTTTGATAAATGGTGAGAAGCACAAATATTAGTATGTGATCATTAGGCGAAAAATAGTATTTCTTTTTCAACAGATAATCTGAATAGTAATTTGAATTAATCATGAAATTATTTGAGAAAAAATGAATAAAATTTCTTAAAATAGATTACCATCTTATTATTCACCTGGCGAAAGTTATTCAGGTGAACTTGATATGAGTGAGAAACTGTGGTTAACCTTAAACCTATTCGCATAAGAGTAATAGTGAATTTGATAAGCTCCATGATCAGAACTTGGAAATTCTAGAACTCTTTTGTTTACTAGACTAAATTCTGGTCCCAAAAATAACCTGTAAACGACATTATGACAGTTGTTAAAGATGAAGAAAAAAGATTCAAAAAGAATACAAAATGAAAGATATCATCACCGCTGATGGATTCAGGCATGATCGATAACTGATCAGAATTCTAGTTGAATATCATGTAGTTGAAATAAGCGATAAGAAAAAAAAAGAATGAGAAAAATTCAAGTTACTAATATCAAAGTGTAAAACAGAACAATGTATTGATAGTATTAGATGAAAATATTATACAATAAATTGAAAGATAATTAAGACGATTGATTGATTCAAATTAATCATGATTCAAATGATATTTACGATGAAAATCAATCGATTTCGTATTGATCACTAATTATGACGTTTGATTGAAAGGTTATTAGGTTCAACATGGAAATAAGTATGCTGATTATTATGGTGAATCAATTAATCTAATTTATTGGTTAGATGTTCCAATCGAAGGTTGTAAAAATTTCTCTGAGACATTTTGGAGAAAGTTTTTCTTTGGTGTATTGAGAGGATTGAGGTTGTTTACCATGGAAAATGTTACGATTTTTTGGTTAAACTTACTCTGGAAGGAGAAGCAATTGAACAGCGATGAGAAAGGCAAATGAAATGGACGAACAGATAACATGATAACAGAATAGACTATCATCATGAATAATATATTCTCGTTCCAATGTTCGCTTGCGAAATATTAACAGAATTGAATTCATCTCATGGGTATCGGTATCACAGCATAAATGTGAATTAGGAAGTAGATTAGTTTCAATCAAAGCGACACTCTGGTTGTCATCAAGATGAGAAAAAGATTTTGGGTCATGTTTATTTGTCATTTAGATGAGTAAGTTGACATTCCCAAGGTATATAAGGATGTTAATTAAAATGAATTAAATTGTAAGAAATGGAATCAGATGATTAAGTGAAGGAAGAGTAAAAAAATAATGTTACATTGAATTAGAATTTATTGTTGATTGATTTGGATCATTGGTAAATTTTTAATCCATTGGTAGTATTATCACTTACCGTTAATCTTATATTCTTTGCTAATATTGTCTCTGAAGTATTTGAAAAGGGTTTGTCACTTCCCCAGCATTCCATGTATTTACCTTTGCGTTTTACAAAACTTGAATTCATTGGATTCCTTTTCAAACATTGACCATCATGGTAATGCTCTGAAAGACTATTTGAATCATGAGAATCCTTGAAAAATATAGAGAAGGAAATAAAAAAATAGAATGAAAATTTCAAAAATGAGATGAGAAAAATGCTGAACTGATCATGAAAAGTTCACGTTCATTCACATTGTAATAATATTAATATATTAATAGGTATGAGAGAGAGAGAGAGAGAGAGAGAGATGTCGAGGTGTGAATTTCATTGTTGATCACTTTACGATTTTTACAATATTCAGAGTCATGATGATGATGAAGATGACATTCCATATGATGGGAACTTCCATTCACCATGGAAACAGGAATTGAATTTAAAGAGTAAAAGTTAACGGTACATTGAATGAATAGAAGGAAATTGTTTGAATGAGTTTGGTTTCTCATATTTGTTTGCTATCCTTAATTGTGATAAAATTGCAATTCAATTTGATTGTTACAATGTTATGCTCACTAAAACATTTTCTTTATCCCCTTTGGCTTATATTAAACAATAATTGATAATCGAATGATATTTAATAACCTTAATAATCCATGTCTACGTTGATAGTAAACTTAATGAATCAAATTTACTGATGGAAATCATCATCATCGTTAAGTTCATGTAAGAATTGGCTGACTAGTTATACCAAGATAACATATCTTGAGCCAATTTATTACAACTTATTTACACATTTATTAGTTTTTTTTCCGTTCATTCACCATGATAATATAATTATCATCATGACGATAACTTTAATGGTCTTTGAATCATTGACTTTAATATGATAACTGTTGGTCACTTGGAATTGAATCTACTATTAAATCCTCTTAATATCATTAACCATTTAGTCTCAAATTATGGTCCAATTATTTTCAATAATCCAGAGTATTCTTAATCTCCCATTCTCGGTGCTAACATGATTCCTATTCATTAATTAACCACCCTGATTCACTGAATTCTGTTTACCTTTACCACAGACGATATATAATAACAATAATATTAGTAGACTATTCAATTTAATGGTTATAACCTTTTTGACTTACATGAATTCCCACCCACTGAATAAGGATTATTGAGACTATCAATTGAATTACTGAATAGTCTAATGAACAATGAACAATATAATACTATGATTATTTCAAGATTTCTCAACAATTCGTTCAAGTTGTTCTTAAAACTTTTACTTAAACTTAATTGCAAACAGAAAAGGAAGTTCAATTTACTATTCAACAGTTTCCTGAGTTTATCGAGAAATTTATCAAGCAAACTTAATATTTTTACTCTGCAATCAGCTGAAACTTTTATCCTTCTTTTGTCCAGTAAAAATGATACCCCAACCTGACCAATAGTTGACCATTGGATTGAAGGAAAACATGAAGATTCAATATACATTATGGTTAAAGTCAAAAACATTATGTTCAGTTTACCCTGAAATCAACAGATAGATGAGCATTCTGATTTAGAGTTGACTGATTTTCTATTGATTTTTTTTATTTCTCTCTCTCTCTCTTGATTCTTTGATTACTTAACTTGATTGAAAGAGCAATTAACTAATAGTAGCTGATTATAAACACTGACCAAAAATAAATTGTATCAATTTAATCAGAGCTGAATGATTATAGTCTCTCATCACCATAAGATAAACAAGAAAATTTATCAACTACTCAATCAGAATGAAATGAAAATATTATATATAAGAAAGTAAAAGATCAATGTCGTTAAAATTCAGCTAATTGCAATTAAGAAATTGCTTCTCATTATTAAGGTTTCCAATTAAAACTAACAGAAATCAGCTAATTATTACAAATATTAATTCTTTTGATTATTGTATAATAATTATAGTAATCAATGAATGGTAATGATGATGATAATTTATCTCGACAACTAATTGAAATGAATTGTTACAATTAATTATTTCTTGAAATTTCAGTGAACATGACTTCCACCTAATCAACATTTAATTGTTCATGTATCATTTACCAATATTACACTTGGATCGAGTGAAAAAGTCAAGGTACCAATAGATTCATTTGTCATCATTAGTTGATTGTTCATTGGGATTCTCAATGGTTATTAGGGTAAAAAAAGATTTGGTGACAATTTTTCATCTCTTCAGGTTCTAAGATTTTAATTGCGACTCTGGAAATTAGTTAATCATTCAAATCATTCTGCTAATTGTTTTACCGAGTTTACTGACCATTTGTAGTTCCTATTATGAGAAAAAGTTGGCAAACTAATTGCTGGCTCTTGATTTGAATAAATACTCAAGACAATTAGAAAACTAAACAACAAGTAAATTGTTGTCATAAAAATCTAATTGTCATTCTAAGCACAATTAGATGAGTCTTGTTATATTGGGAAGAAGAACTATTAAAAAAGTTAAACCTGGAAATTCATGATAAACTAATGACCATGAAAGAATCAATCATACTTATGGTCCAATATACAAAATTGACCGAATGCAAAAATCAATTGTAATTAACTTACCTTTTCAGGAACAATTAGAAAAGTTTCAATCTGATGCTGAGCCAAATAAGTACTTCGAAGATGACCATTTCCGGGTTCCGTTTTGTATCGACCTTCGAGTAACTGTAAAGTTGCCTTGGTAACATGAACTCGTCTTTTGATAAATCAGGAAAAAGAAAATAGTTGAATTGAAAATTTGGAATTTAAATTTTTCCTATTGAGATAATATCATCATGCAATTATCATAATAACCGCTATAAATTGATATCAGTTGATTCAAATGAAATGCTATTAATTTAAGTGAATGTAATTCAAGCAACAGTTTACTAATCAGATTGAAAAATAATCATGAAAATCTAATAACAACTATAATAGTGTTTTCTTTACATTGAATCTTACAGTTGAAAGGAGATTATTGAAACTTAGAAGATACTAAATGAAACTTTCAGAATCTAATGATAACTTAAAGATGAAAGAATAAAACTTGAACTCGATTGAAAATTCTGATTCAAGTTTATTAATAATTCCAATAGAACATGAGGTTAAAACTATTGTGAAAATATTGTATCCGATAATAAGGAAAAGTTGAAATAATAAAATTAGTTGTGATGATGATGATTTTTAATGGCTATCAGTTATCATGGAATCGGAAAATTGAGCTTTAAGAACTTTTTTCCTACTCATTATTATTATTAGATGAGAGATAATAATGAAATGATATTATACTTGTGCATTATTTTAGCTTCTTTCTTTCTCGGTAATATTTATCATGAGAAGCAAATCCAATTTCATGGTTCAATAGAATATAAAATATCCAATAGAATTCAGTTGGTCAGTTTCATTTTAAGACTTTTTTTCTCAACTCATGTTTTCATCTTCACAGGTTTCAATGGTTTAGTGGCTACTTGAGTCAACCTTTAATCTTTTGTCAAATGCTTTGTCCATCTATATCATCACTATCATCATCCTCATCCCATTCTCATCATCTTCATCGTCATCATTTGGTTTTGTTATCACAATCTCTTGTCTGGTAATTCAAACTCAGTATTCTGACATGAAAATGAAATAATTGAAGGTCAGTGTGACACTCAGAGTCTCCAAGTTATCATGATTGTTTCAATTAAATTTCCTTCTCATGATTGATGTTTGAGGTCAGTTTTTTCATCTATAATTACATGTAGCATATGAACTCGAACTAAGAGCTTTTGGACTTTTTCGTTGTACTTTTTTACCGTTACAATTTCCAAAGAGTGGATAAAACGAGAGATACTCATGTTTGGAATATTTTATCTGATATCATTTTCCTAGGTAAAGTGTATTAGTTACTAAGAGATTTTGTTTTTCATTCTTAATCCTAAATTCTGGATTAAATTTTCATTTCAATGTCTAAGAATTTCTATCATCTCACACAAACGGAAGGATAAAAGTTAATAAATAAATTCTATTGTTAGTTTTTCTTTTCTAGTAGATTATCAAGTCGACAGATATAATCCACTTTGTAGGTTAGATTGAGTGTCAACACTGAACAACCCAACTAACCTTGAAATTTGCCTCTGTAACTGAAAGGAAGATGATCTTTAATGGAAAAGATTCTGCAAGTAAATTCTGTCTCCATGAGAATAATTGAAAGTTAATCAGCTATAAAACTCACCCAGAAACATCGTGATTAACATCAAGTATATCATTCAATTAATTGCAGATAACTTGAAATCGTTAATAAAACAATCTCGTCGCTGTTATTTTCTTAACAAATCGCTATACAGTTTTGTCCCCTCTTCCATTGATATTGACCTTGATTGCTGATTTCCCGATTACCTATTATCATGAAATAATCTCATGAAAAAAAAAGTTTACACTCACTGAAAATGAGATTAAATTTCCTGAGCCTTAAATCTTTATCTAATCATTAAATTGTTCACTTTATCGATGAGATTAACAATTCAATCTCAATTGACCAAAGGAGCAAACAAAACAACAGTAAATGATTAATAATCAAATTCAGATTAATTTAAGGTGATTAAATTCATTTTTGATGTTGAAGGTAGATTGGATTATCTAATAAATAGTTGTAACAATTAAAATCCTAATCACATTATCCTAAAAGTCAGTTGACTAAAGGTAAAACAAATCAAAGTGATTACAATCAATTAAGATAATTAAGGATTCTAGAAATTCTTACATTTAAGTTTAAACTAATTTGTTTTAATCTAATTAGAGATTGAGATTTAACTTTAATCTTGACAATCAGAAAACTGACAAAATTTCAGACACAATTAAATCAATAGCATTCATTAATAACTTATTGCTAATAATGTAAATATACTTGAGCTTTGGTGGAAAATTTTTTCTCCATTTCTATTAATAATCAATAAACTTTATTCTTGAACAAATCGATGATAATATTTTGAACTGAATATTTCTTGGAATTGATAAACTTACCCTGGGACACCTCCAGACTCCATGTGCATCGCCAGGGTCACATCATCTGACCATACATCATATTGCCATTTGATTAGACCAATAACACCACATAAAACGTTACCTGAGTGAATTCCTATTCTCATATCAACCATTACCTTGGTCACTTCACGAACAGATCTGAATAAATGATCATGAAAAAGAGGCAGAAAAAAAATCATTTACAATGGATTATGATAATAGTCTGTAAGTCAAACATTCAAATTGTATCATTTTGATTGATAAAAGTAAATCACCAAAATAAGATGAATGAAAGTGGTTAAAATGCAATCAAAAAGAAACTGGATCAGTATTTTTGATATTATCGAGAGAGAGAGAGAAGGAAAATTCAACAATAAGATCAACAGAATGTAAAAGAAATAGTCTACAACGAAAATTCAAAAGTACATTACCAGTGATGTAAAACGAATCAATGAAAAACTATAAGGTATTGAAACGAAATGAGGAAAAAAAGTTCCTAATGAAAGATGAAAGAATCACCAAGAAATAGCAAGATATGCAGAAAATATGAATTCATGGTAACTCAATGATAGTTTATCATTTTTTTTTATTCTCCGCTGAGTTATTAGATTTGATTGTTGTTACCTTTGTAGGAAAAACTGTTTCTCATGATGAGATGAATCCAAAAGTAACTCATAGTATTCATGATAAACATCAAAAGTTCTGAGAGTTGTGAGTAATCTTAACTGAGGTGAAAAAAGGTTTTCTATCAAGATTGATGACAGGAGATAGATTAAGGTGTTTATATATGAAATTTACTCTTGGTATTCACATATACAATAATATTGAAGAAAGTTAATCTCCTTATCCTTTTTTTTGGCAACAAAGGAATCAAGATGAAAAGAGACCTCATAATAAATGACCTAATTATGAATTAATCTATTAACGGTAACTACAACTCGAAATGCAAAGTTTCGAGTTACTATTTGATGAAAAGAGTGGAGGTGATGAATAAAAATCTATCATTCTCTTTACTTCTTGATATAATTGTATAACTTTTTCAGTCAATTTTCTTTGGGAATAGTAAATTTCTCAGGTACAATTCACCTGTTGCATTATGTTGACCATTTAATTGCTGTATAATCACCGACAGTTAATGATTATTACTCCAAAGATTTAATTTCAAAAGGTTCTAAATTCTTGTTGTTACCATTTAAATATTAATAATAACATTTAACTTAGCGAAAATTTTGTTATAAACTTTCACCAGTATTCAAATATTTACCATAATTAGTTGTTAATATTGAATAGATACAATTAAAAGTTTGTATAGTTGATTAGAATATAACAATTCTTATAAATGAGACGATTAATGATATGCAATTAGTTAACTATTAGTAATATTTGAAAATTAATATTATTGTTTTATTGAAAATCAATTGAATAAAAGTATCAGAACAAAAATTAATCAACTTTTTCGTATCTGTTATGAATTAATTTCTGATTTTCTCAATATTTATACAGCAATTAATTGATTGATTTTCTTTATTTCTGATCTACTAGATTATTCTGAGTGTAAAGTTTGAATTGAACTGATTGTTTGTCGATGGTATTGATTTACCGTATATTGAAAACACTACTACCTGAGGCTATTTGAATCTGGTCAGAAATTGACTTTTGTTTTTAGCATGACCAGTGAATTGATAATTGATTAGAAATGTTGATAAGATTGTTTATCAAAATTAAATCGATAATCTTACTTTATTGCTTCAATCATTTCGAGTCCCATTTGGGTACAATTGATTGCATGACTTGGACGTGAAACCGGAAGACCAGAGACACAATAATAACAATCACCAAGAATTTTAATTCTCATACATTGACATTCCTATTGTAAAAAGGTAAAGATACAAGAAAGAATGATAATTAAACATGATTATTAGGTGATTAACATTAAAAAATGATGAAACTCATTAGTGAAATAAAAAGCGTTACAATAATCATTACATTGAATCGCTAAATAATTGAACATTTTTCCTCAGCTCTCAGAATTATTTGTTCAGATTCATCATTATTATGAGTTTGATACTCGATAAGTCTGAGAATAAAGATCAATTGGAGGGATTTCTTGTGACTCTCTTCGTTAATATTAATAGAAAATAATACCGACACAACCCAATCAACATATAAATTTTTTTTGACAGAAAATAACAATTTTTTGACTCTTTTTTGACTCAATAATTGACTCAAAAATTTGTCAAAATGGTTTTGAACGAAAGAGAGTAAAAAAAGACTCAAATTGTACTCAGAATAGAGTCTATGGGAAATTGAAACTTGTGAATTTCGAATTTTTTTTCCAATATCGCGGGTTGAAAATAGCGAAAATTGATCATTTGAATAAGCGCAAAATTTGAACTGGTATCTTGTTTATTTTGAAAAAATTTTTCAAGGAATTTTGAATTTCATAATTTTGGTAAAATGATTTGATCTAATTACAATGATCATGAGCAATAGAATAATAGAATTTGAATATGATAACAATGAAAAGATTTGGACAAGAATAGTAGAATAAAAAAGGCAAATGTAACAATTTTTCTCATAGGAATATGAATTCAATTTCTTTCAATAGAAATTCAATAGATTCAGAAATCATTGATATTAAAACATTGGCTGTTCATGGTGATTCCATTGGTTTGATCTCTTGTGAGAAATCCATTGTCTCAGCTTCTGAGAAAATTGGATCTTCGGTTGATTGTTTAAATTTTTCGTACAAACAATTAGCTTTTTCGTTGATTTCTCTCAATGGTTGATCCTTTAGGTTCTTTTTATTTGATTCTTGAATATGTTTTTTCAAATCTTTTTCTTTGATGATTATCTTTCTTTTGATTTTCTTTCCTATGGATCTTTTAATGATCTTTGAAGGCAATTTATCGGAAAGTTGAGATTGAATCACTAGAAAAATTAAAATCAAAATTAAAATTAAAATAAGCGTTTTAAAACCGACTGAAAAATGAACAAAAAAAGCTTTTATCACTAAGAGAACTTACATTTGACCATTTTGAAAATAGAGAAAAATTGAAGATAATAGATGAAAATTCACAGAAAAAGATGATGAAGGTGATGATGATGATGAGGATGAGGGGAAAAACAATCCAATGAATAAAAAAATCAAAACAAAAAAGAAGAATAGAGAAAAGAGAAAAAAATTCAGGAAAATTAGCTTTTTTCGTAGATTTTGCTTTAAATGAGAATTGAAAAAAGAAACACTAATTTCACTTGAATTTTCACAATTTAAGACCAAATTTTTGATCTCTAAATGATCACTGATGCTTAAAATACACAAAAACTATGAATAAAAAATTAGAATAAAAGATCACGAGAGAAAATGGAAGAAAACTGGCAGAGTATCATGGAACGTGAAGTAAATTCGAAACAGCTGGAAATGACTCTGGACTTTAGCTTTACGCGTTTTTAAGCAGGTTCAATAATTGACCAGAAACGGCTCAACTAATATATCTTTATGGTATTTGTAGTGGAACTTGGTACTTTGAATGATGAAACATTTACGAATCTTGTCAGTCAGTTTGATGATTTCTTTTTCTTTCCCAACACTTTTCACTTCTTGTAAATGGGGTAATTCGAAGGCATATGATCCACAGATCCCTTTGAAATTTATTTTGATTGGAGCTGTTTCAATTCTTTCACAAAATCCGAATATCGTTGATTGTGAACGGAAAATTTGTAGAATTTTGAAAAACTTTCGATCGAATTCTATCACAGAATCACAACACAGCTTATCATCTCCATATTCGCTTGTTGAAAAACGTTTATCATTGATTCTTATCGTTTTAAAGAAAAAAAAAGCTGAATCAATTGAGGAACCAATTCTTTCTTGAATTTCTTTCGTGGTGGTATCAGAAGGAAAATTATTCTCTCTAATTAAGAGAGTTCGATCAGGATAATCAGGATTCCAATTCAATCTGGAAACAAGACCAAAGTCCTTTTTTTCTTTTTCAAGTAGAGGCCAATTTAAAATTGAGTTTAGAATCACATCGTAGTTAAAATCATTGATGAAAATTCTGACCAATGATTGTGCGATATTCGATGATCGCCGAACTTTATCTTTCAATAATCCCATATAATTTTCTAACGGATACGAAGAAACATTTTTCGTTGGTCCAAGATTTTGTACGGAATCAGGTAAATGGGTCATTATATGAAGATTGTAGGTCATAAATGGTTTACCATAATACTCCATCATACCATTTTGAAACTCGAATATAAGATTTTTCAATTCAGATATTTTATTCTGATCAACTGGAGAGCAGTGTGAAAGCTGTAAAACTCTAACAAGACATAGTAGATGGTTTAGAATTTTTGGTTTCAAGAGGCCTTTCAAGATTCCAAATGAATAATAACCAAGAAAAGCATCATACTCCGAGCTCTTCCAATATTTGATTTGCTCGAAATCTCTTGGTCTTCTTGTTACATCTGATGGAACCTTGATATCAACAATTCTTCGGGAGAGCTCTTTTCTAAAGAAATTTTTATCGATTCGTGTTTCAAAGATATTCGAACTTGTTTCACCAAACCATCCTTTAAGAATCATCCCACGAAAAACACCTAATATCATACAATGCATGTACTCAACCGCCACGCCATCGACAATATTGAAACTTTCGAGATTCAGAAGGGGAGATCCACCAATGATTCCATAAAAACGTGAAAGCTGCTCTTGACTGAAGCTTATTTGATCAATTGAACGTAGATTTTCAAAGAGTAAAAAATCATCTCGTGTTCTCTTGAGCTGTTGAATTTCTGATTCTGCCACATTTGGATAGAATCTTGATCCTTGATATGTAGAAGCTTGTAGTAAACACCAATCACATCCATGGATGTGATTGTACTGGCGTACACTACGCAAAAAAGCTCTCATCGGAGCATCGGCAACTAGTCCAATGACATGAAATGTTGCTTGAATCTCATGTTGTGATTCATTTTTCCATGTTATTGGATCTTTTTCCAGTAACTGCAGCTCTTCGCATATTGGTCCAAGATAACTAGCGACATCGGGCTTAACTTTTCCAACAAACAAACCAACTAAGAGAAAATGTCTTCTCCGGAATTCAGGTCTAAGCTCATTTATTGACACGAATATTGGGAAAATTTTAACAGATGAGCTGTTTCCAGCAGCAACTTCATCAGAGTGAAGAGTTAAGGTGATTCTTGGTGTTTCACTTAGACAAGATTCTTTACAAGCACTAGCAAGTCTTGCATTGGAAATGTCAATAGTCTCTATTTGATTCAAAGATCTTGTCCATTGAGAATCAGGAATCACTGGTAGATGAGAAAGAAGTTGATCTTTGAGTTGAATGTGTAAAAAATATCTATCATTTTTCAAATTAGCTTCACAAATATCTCCATCGCATTCGAATGAGCCATATTTTGAAGGTTCACCGAAAAAAGGACCATGGCTGTGTTTTTTTTCACATAAAATATAAACCCCGATTGGATTTTTCTTGGATCTTTTTTCCCAAAAATATCGTATGTTGGGTAAAATGACAGGATCACGAGAATATCGTCTATTCACATTGTTAAATAAATTGATCACTCTTTCACCAGCGGCTAAGGTTAATTTACACTCACTCAAAAGCGCTGAAACTAAGACTTCAATGTAATCGTTTTGATCAATGAATCGCATAGACACATCATCTTCGGAAAAATCAAATTCACTTGAACTTATACTTTCAAATTCTTCATGGGATTCATGATCATCAATTGTCAAATGGTTCTCATCATCACTCAATGAACATGATGTTGAAACTTGAAGCTCAGGCAAAGAGTCAATATAATTGATTTGTTGATAACAATGAGATTTTCTTTTCTTTCTGTTGACACTTCTTGTTGACAAAGAACACATATTTGATATTTAATTATTGAGATTCAATCACAAATATAAATAAGAAAACGGATCAAATAACTTTTTAATTGGTGGTCAATATTTAAATTTAGAATTAAACTGAAATTAATAAAAAAGCTTATATTTAGAATAGAAAAAAAGCATGTTCTATTCTAAAATGAGATTTAGAATAGAACAAAATTAAAATTCTATTCTCTTTTGTTTCTATGGTAACACAATCTTTTTCTTATCGGCGGAAAAAAGAAATTAGATTAAATTTTATCTAATCAAAAAAGGAAGTTGTTTTTTTAAATCAATTTTAAATCAGTGCTTTTAGTTAATTCAATTTTTAGCAGTTTACATGTGAACAACAACCATCTTAAATTGATTTGTTAGAGTGTTTTTAGTTTCATTTTATGGACACTGATCAAAGAAAGTGCTACAACCTAAGAATCTCAGCCCGACAGAGTAAGAAAAAACCAAGATTTCTTTTTAATCAAACAACGATAATTGGTTCACTGTGTAGCCTTATGGCAAATGAAAAGGTAATTGTTGCCCTAACCCGAGTCAGGGATGGAGGTGAAACTGAACAATCTATTCCGATTGGATTCAAGATCCAAAAAAATATGATTCCTCAAGATATTAGACCTGATAGAGTTCATACGAACAATATTGTTCATCTTCAAATTTTTGGGGGGAAACCTTTACCAGCGATGATAGTTTGTGTAGGAGGTAAGTTTTTATGCCAATTTGTTTAATGAGATCATTGAAATTTGTTCTTGTTCTTTAGATGATTCTCAAGATATTATGGCCCTTTACAAAGCTTTTTGTTACAAGGTTAAAGACAAAAAACTTCCTTGTTTAGCCAATAAAATTAAACACTGGCTTTCGGTTCCCAACATCATGGTAAATCGAATTCAGAAATCAAGTTTCAAGCCAGTATCTATTAAAGATTTCAACGCGTTCATTAACCACGCCAGCTCAGTGAA